CGTATGTCTGTGCGAGCATGTCTCTGTTTTCTATGTCATCCGACATTCTTACCTTCATGCCAAGAAGGGCATAACCGCAAATGCGAGCAACTCACATGAACGTAGTGGAAGGGCGATGGGATGGAATAACGTTTGTCGCCTGATGGTTAGCTGGTAATAATCCTGGAGCGTTAAATTTCCTCAGTTAAGCGCGCACGTATGCTTGAGTACTTCAATTCATACCCTAATGCGGCCCAACAGCACCGCAGCCCCCTCAGAGTCTGCGACTCATAAAGGGCGCTAGCTAAGTGACGCACGAACCCAAGCCCACAAGCACACGTACAAATGCACATACGCACATGCCAATGCCATCTTTCAGAGCTCATCGCATTCACCTTAAGCTTCTGACCCATTCCGACGTTGGCAAACGTCTGTTTCTACTTTGTAAATCGCGATGTCAACTGCCTCGCAAACATTTCCACTTCTGTGGGTGGCTCTGCGCTTCTATTGTTTTTGGTGTTGTTGTAGCTAATGTTTGTTGTTATTGTGTTGTACCAACAATTTTAGCATACTCGTAGATATGTACATCAGCAGATATCCTTGTCATAAGATAAGGATAATTCCGGCATTTTTATTTTGCACTCCGCCGCTGCAATCCCACCGTAGCCCAGCACCTAACCACACCAACACCAACACCAACACCAACACCATCAAACAAAATGGCCTTTACGTGCATTTTCGGCTTAAGTTGCCTTCTGTATCAGACACATATAAATACATATATATATATATATGTACTTATGATACTTACGGGGAGTTGAAGGCGGGGTTGCTGCTGCTGCCTCGTATGTGACACGGCGCAATTCTTTCATTTTTAAATGCCTAATGGCAATTTTATTCACTTAAATGCCTATAATGCGCGAAATTCACGTTTAGCACATTTCGGGCCATCAGTACCAGACGCAGTCATGCATATGTATTTTCGGTACATTTAAATGCACATCAACATATTCACATGCACATATGGACTTATGCTTTATCTAGTGTGTGGTTTATGGCTACGCGGCTTTAGATCTGATGACGACCCAACTCTTCCTCCTTCAGACAGCTCTGGTGGAAGGGACCAGACATGAGGGTTTTTCATTCGGCATGAACACAAAGAAGATAATATCCAATCAGTGCCTAACCCTATGAGTTTGAAAAAATCCTCCAGTTAAAAGTGGGGAGCACCAGCACACAAAAGCAATGTGCTTAAGCAACGAGTCCCGACTGCCAGTGGTTGGCTCATTATTTTTCCTCTTAATGAGTCCCCACCTATCAGGCATCGCAGAGGTCGCCTCGTCCAGTTCTTAGCAGTAGGACAAATCCTCGAACATATTTCGTAGTATTTCTAGTCACCTGTCTCCAAATAAGCCCCCTGTAGCTGCATTCATCCATGAGTTTTAACCCAGAGAAATCCGTCAAAATAACACCACCCAAAGGCGTTTTTGCACATTGCAAGCCCACTTACCATATTTGTTGAGGGCGCCGATCTCCGCTATTTCTGCTCAAATGTCTTCGCAAAGCAAGTTGTTTTGGATATAACTGAAGAGAAGCTTAAGAGCCGCGCACGAGAAACTTCCCAAGTCATTTGATTTATCCTAAAAGAACTTCCCATTTTGTATGCCGCTTTATTCGATCTCTCCTCCATTTCCGACTTCTCTAAACTTGTGGGTCGAGTATATCATGTCAAGCCCTCCTATTTTTCTAACATAGAATAGAAGATCCTCATAAAAATCTCTTGACTGCTCGGCATATCACAAATCGCCAAAGGAGCTCTGCTGAAAATTGCTTCAGCGGGCCAGCGGGCTGCAACTAGTTTTAAAGGGAACTCTTTCTTTCTTTAAAAGTAGATTTCACGGCTACAGCCACAATCATAACCCAACTTTTTTTGATTTTCTACTAAATTTCAACTCCTACCAAATATTTACCACTTTAAACTTCCGGAATACAGAAACCCTTTAAACTAATATATTTTTCAGATGCTAAGCACACGTACTTAACTTAATATGTATGTATGTATGTGGCAATCACAGTGGCATTCGAAATTTCTAACTTAACTAAAAGTAAGTTATGTAAAAACAGCACTGAATATGAGCGCGGAGCAACAGAGGCACATAGACAGCTTGAGCTCGAGCTTGGCAAGTTTTCCAAAAAAAAAGAGCTGAAAAAGAGAGCGACAGGCCAGGCCACCCACATTTCATGTCTGCATTCATTGCGTTGCGGTCTGTATGTCGTCGAAACCAAATAAAAAAGGTTGAGATAAATCAACTAGGATAAACGATATGTCGCATCACTTTTGAAAATGAAAAATGTTTTTATGATATCCTTCCTCTTCGAATGGCAGCTTGAGGGGCACATTTTGGGGCTGTTTGTTTTTTCCGAACTTTCCACCTCATACGTATTCATTCCGAAATGAGTGTTACACAAAAACCCACATATTCACACATATATTTACAGCAATTGCATCACCATCTCCTTGGAGTTCACTACCAAATATCCACAATACTCATTTGCCGTTTGTTGCCACTTTTGACTTCACGCAGAGTTTTTATTTGATTCATCTTCTGAGTTGAATTGTAATTTCATAATTTATTAAATTCCATTTTTATCTCTTCAATTGAGTTGTTATGACGAGTCCATCGTCAATAGAAGAACTGGACAAGGTGAGGAATGCCGCGCTTCAATAGAGAGGAAGAAGACTGACAAGCTTACAAGGTTGCGATCAGATTGCGCAGTATAATAAAGATGCCTAGAGATGGGGAGGGGAAAGAAAAGAGTCTCAAATCTGTCGGAGACCAGAAGTTACATACAGATGATTTCAAAATTTCCACCTTTCATCTATAAACAATCCAATTATTGACATTTTCCCCAGTTTGCTAAAGCCCAGTGAAAATTATACATCCGAAGAGGGTGAACCCGAACCTCTAATCGTTGACGATGGTGCGCTCATTTTATCATCAGATTATGATGAAATTTTAGTAGCGACTACCCGCCAGGTGCTTCTTTGCGGAATGTTATCCAACGAAATTATTCCCGACGATGGAAACCTGAGTGTGCTGCCTAATCTTCATATTGAGAACCTGAGATAATTCTCTTCCTGCTCAGTTCAACACCACATGTGGTTTCAGACAACTCTCAATCGAGTGGTGTAGAATATTCTCTCACCTCCAGACTGGAAGAAGAAAATAAAAAAGGGGTCTGTAAGTGAAGTGAGTCTTGAAACCCAGCGCAGAATCACTATTGCCAGCAGCACTCGGATGTACTGAGAAATAGGAAAATCTTTATTGTCTCAGAAAGAAACACACTATGTGTCTCCAGACGGTGCCAAATTCAGAAAAAAGGGTCCTTTTGAGGCACTGCTGTTGATTCCGCCGTGATCGCTTAAACGGCACTTGCCCCCAACAAGGAGATGAATAAAATTTAAGCCACGGCCTTTATTGCAGCGCCGTAAAATATGCAACAAAGGTGAATGTTATTTCAAATCTGCGTAGACAAAAACTAAATCTATGAAAAATTGCCCAATTTACTTACGTAGCCTCACATATTCCATTAACATACAGCTACAGCGACAGCAACAACTAATCAACGACCTCGGATAAAAATTGTATCTGCATGTACATACGAGTATGTATATGCGGGGCCCGCAGCTATCATTACAGAGAACATTTGTCAAATGTTTTAAGTATCACAAAAATGGTTACTTAATTCCCGTTATGCTTAAGAACAGCACACTTTCATACATACTGGTGCATGCTGCCGTAGCCGAACATAGCCAATCTGCAAAGGTATATTTCACACGTTTATCCGCTCATGCCTGGATTAGGCAGCATTCAGCGATGATAGCAGGCAGCACCGGTGTGGGGCGTCGTCGTTGGATTCGCACGTTAATCAAAACAAATGCAATTTAAGCGAAACAGCAGCAAAGCAACAAATTACAATAATAATAATAATGCAGAGAGCACTGAAGAAAAACAATATCGGATTGGGATTGGGAGTCCTTCGCAGAAAACAGCTGCTGAACGTGGCAATACTGCTGAGGGCGATACCAGTGTTGGAGCTGGGGTTTGGTGATGGCATTGGCGAAAAATTTTTATTGCCCAATAAAATTGCCATTTACGCTAATGTGTCCGCCTCAAAGCCACATCTAGTGCCAAGCGCGACCAGCAAAAGCAAATAAGAAAAAAATCGAAAAAAAAAACTTTAAGCTTAAAACCGCTGGTAAAGTATAAAAACTGAAAATGTGCTAGCAAGTAAAATTTGTGAAAAAATTGAAAAGGCGAAGAAAACGAATTCAGTGAAAAATCCCATAAGTCTGCGCAAATGCTAATCTAATCGCGGCGAAAATATCTCCTCAGCACCTGTAGTTGGCCAAAGCTACGAGCATGCACACACACACACACATGAATGTGTACCCATGCGGCCTCGTGCCGGCATAGATGAAAGGAGCAGCGCCGCAGTCAGCGGCAGCTTCTTGCGAATCCGATAAATGCAAGGTAACAAAAAGTCATTAATCTACAATTGGCAACTTGGCGTTTCGCATGCGGCATAAGATTTGAGGCAATGTGGCGTCTGCCACCATCACGTTTGTTTGGCCCAACCTGCTCTTTCCTTGCCTTCCTTGCATTTGCCTTGCCTTTTGCTCACCTCAAGCATTCGATTTTCTTTTATGTTTTATCTATTTACAAACAAGTAGAGTCGAAGAAGCCATAAAGCCATTCGGCTAAAACATTTGAATTTTAAATAAAATCAAGAAAATAGAAAGCAAAGAACGGAATGTCGAGCCTTGAATGCCCCACTCGAATGATTTAAATTTAGTCTCAAAAATTTTTATTTTAAATTTTTATTTGAATTTTTCTTAATTTTGCAAAATCGAGTCTTACTGAAGAAGGCCACCATGTAGAATTTGGTGAAACTGGGAACATAAAAGGCAAGGAAAACTCTAAATTAGCTAAGAATCGGACTGACTTTTCTCCAGCAGTTTTTATAAGGCAAACGAAAGGAGTTCATGGCGCACTGCGGCATCAAATTGGAACAGGACGGCGGATATTAAAATCGTCCTCGACTTACGTGAAATAATGTGCCATCGCTACCAACGTCGTCGTCGCAATAGCAAAAGTGGATATAGCTTGGGTTTTAGCCTAGGGATAACTAAAGTTCCAGAGATTCACGGGGGTTTTTAGAAGAAATGAATAAGCTTTATGGGGACACAGCTGGCCAGGGAACAAACAGCCGTCATAAGAGTTTTTATTGTTGCCGAAGCAATGTGCATGGTATACACAGGTTCAAATGCAAATCAAGGCTTATAGTAAATATATTTGTTTAGTTTGGGCGTGTTCTCGATCAAAAATAAATAAAAAACGAGCAAACTGACACTGGCGACTGCAGCAACAAAAACAACTTAGGAAACGAGATATGGAAAAGATGATAAAAGACACCCTCGCGCTAAAGCACCCAGAGGAATTGACTCGCGCACTTAATCGCTATTTAACTCCACTGTGCATGTGCGTATGTCTGTACGTTTGTATTAGCCGAAAAACGCATTTATTACATTTTTCTAATCGAAGATTTATAACAAAACCTGAACTTTAGCACCTTTGAAGTGCCAACTCGCACCAGTTTACGTCGAACACACGCGCACAAACATATAAACAAATGTATTTATTTGCATTTACACATGCACACACACACTCGTACATATATATATGTATATTTGCGTAATCATATAGCTTTCCAAACTTCCATACATATGTAGATGCTTACAACCATAGAAGAGCGGTCTTCAAAAAGCCATTTTAAGCATTTACCGCCTCTTTTAATGCTTCTCCTCCCACTTTGAAACCCCAAATACAATAAACGAATTATGCACATACATTTTTACATACCTACATGGCACTACATACGCGTATGTGAATATGCATGTGCACTGCTTTGGCACGCATTCGCCAACAGTTGCGTGTGCCTCACGTGTGCGAAATTGCCTAGGCAGCAGCGCCTTTTGTGTGCGCTTACGTAGCCAGTGTGAGTGTGTGTGTGTGTGTGTGGGTGTGTTCATGCTGGCGCGTTTGTACTTCAAAAGTCCAAAAGACAACGCCTTAATGTCTATTTTGCATATGAAGGAAAAGTGCCTCTAGCCATACAAATGTGGAAAATTTGCAAATTGGCACGAAAAGTGATTTTCATTTGAGTAAATTTCTTACTTTAGCCATTCCATTGGTGGTTTGCGCAGCACCCTTTCCAACAGCATCATAATTTCCCATGGCGCAAATGCACATTAAGAAAATACGTATGAGTTTCTAGGCGAGCAGCGCCTAATCTTCTGAATACCACGCAGTTGCTGGAACCCGATCAGAAACTATAGACCTTTCATGAATATTTATGAGAGCGAAGCCACCGACCGCCCTTTATGGGAACAACAGCCACTGCCATGTTTTGGCAAGCAATTCTCCTTGGTCAGAGGAAATAAGAAAGTTCTTGAAACACTGAAGGAAGTCGCAGCCACTAATGATTATTATTTATTTACTGATTATAGTTGAAATTAACCTGCCCACCAATTCTACAAGCCAGGGAAATAAATACTGGAAACAGCCTGAGTAGCCACTGTAACTCAAAAGATCCCTCAGTTAGCGCAAAACACAAATTATTAAAATATTTGTTTTAAAACATTCTTCTTAGGTCCCAGAAGTAAGAAAATATGCTTTTTATTGTAAATGAAATGGTGAAAGTTGACATTGTGACTTTATTCGAAACTCAGACGTATAGGTTTTCGCGACTATATGCAAAACATTTATGATTTAGCTACTTGGTCATAGGGACACCCCAGGTGATTGGGTACCGCTAAACTCTGCTCATGGTGTGGACATACATCTTTCCTCTGCTCAGTATTTGTTAAAACTAGCCTTCACCTGAAGGGCCAACAACAGATGAGAGAGTGGAACCACGTGCAATTGATCTAAGTGAACAGAACTAAGTCTTCGATCCTTCTAACCGGCGTATTAACCGAACACTGTATTGGGGGGACAGAGGGGACGTTATTGATTTATCAGAAATTTCTCAGAAGCATCTGTATTCATTAATCTCATGAATTTCTTAAAATAAACCAACTGATTAGAGCATCTGGAAAAATGAGAGGAATATTCTTCACAGAACCAACATGTTTTACACACTAACTGACTCTAGATACCCAAATATCAATGAATTTGCACTGCTCTAAAAAACCTAAAATTATTAAAACAATATCCTGTTACTCCTTATATTCTCGAATGGTCGATTTTTTTAAGAAAGTATGTTGGCACGAAAGAGGCGAAACGCGTTTAATGTCAGATAGCTCTGAAGACTGCGAAGAGAGAATGAAACTACCTTTAAATTCATGCTAAGGCCCATCCATTGTATTTTCTCTCTGTGTAGCCATTATTACTTGGTATGCTAGTAGCGTACGAGTTTAATGCGAATATGAAATAAGAAATGATTTATGTTAAGCGAAGAGGGAGAAATGTCAAGAATATTGGTTATTAATCAATCTTTTTATTGTTTGATTTTAAAACCAAGTGATATTCGTGTACGGAAATGTTTGTATGGAAACTCCTGCAGTTAGTTTAGAGAGAGCAAATCCTGAAAGAAGGGGCAAATATTTTAGAGATTGATATTTTCGAAAGAGATACAAGACATATGTAAATATTCCTTTCTCAAATTAATGGCATTAAGCCGATCAAATGAAGGGCTACTCACAATTAATGATGGAGATGGAACACATCATTACGTGTTTCAATCATAAAATAATATTCAAAAGCAAGCCTTTTTATTGCGGCCAAGCCTAAATTGTTACCTACAAGCAGCCTGAAGTTGTTGCCTACATTTCGGATGAAATTTTAATATCGGCTATAGACATTATTAAACTGCCAAGTACTGATTTCAATTGAAATAGTCGTAAGGTAAAAAGTTTTTTCTCAAAAATTGTTGCAAAGTAAATAAAAGAGACATTTTAAATCACAAAATTTTACATTCTTCAAGGGCAGATTTACCAAAAAAAAAGCTTAAAGTTGCTTTGCAACAACTGTGGTAGTTACCGTTCATCCGTTTTCATCTGCTGGAATTCTGCGGCATATCCTCTTTCATTTGCATAGAAGTACAAGATTCCGCTCTTGTCGCATGTACAAACTGCTTGCCCGGAAACGGATATAAACACATGCTTACATTGCCACCTAACTGTATGCATTTATATGCGTAAAACTTTGGCATTTTGCAAGACTACAACAGTAACAATTGTTAGGTGACGCCTTAGGACTTGGGAACACCGAAAAGTGTATGCAATGCAAATCTTTCACACATGATGTGCTCGAGTACATATCGCTGGTCGGCCAGCGTCGTTGCGATTGTGCAACACATGCTTAAACAAATAAAAACAAAAGTTGCAAATCTAAAAAAGAATACAAAAGAAAATATGAGAAAATTATTGTGCTCAGACAAAGTTAAGATCGTGTTTTTGAAGAAAACTTTCTCCTTTCGATTGTGCCACAAAGTCGCCTTAGCAAAAGCGGATATTGCATGCATGCCGATACAGACACTCGTGTGCTGGAATTCTGTACAGTCCAAGCAGTATGAGAAAGTTTTTAAATCTAAATTCATTGCGTGTATTGCGAAATGTATGTTCATGTGTATACTGTGCTGGTGCCTCAAGTGCAAGTGCAAGAAACGGTATAAAAACATTAACGTTTCCCTTAAGCGAGATCCTCATCTTGCAGCGTTTCAAAATGTATCGCGTATCATAAATGGAGACTTATATAATCCCCGTAGAGGAGGACGTCCTGTGCCAAAATGGTGAAGCATCCAACTATTTTTAGACATCTTTTAACACTAGAGCAGTACAGAGTCAACGATGTCTGTTTCACTCTTCACCAAAGTCTTGCCTGTCTATACCGTTTTTCACAAATTAACTTCTGAGAAGTTGTCATAGAGGTTTGTGATATATTTATATATAGAAGAAGAGTTTTCTGAGTGCTGTGTTTCTGACATGACATAAAATCTATTAGCGGCTCAGAGGCGACCATTTTTTGCAATGAACCAAAACTTTGTAGCTCGCACAATAAACCCAGAAACTCATTAAGAAGAGCTGCGCGTGCAGACTATTGTACTGCCAGATAGCTCCAGCACAATATCCGTTCTTTACACATTACCAATAAGAGATATGGACGTGCCCACAGGCCGGAGGCGGTGGGGATCTACTCACACTATTTTCCAAGACAGCTGTGAGGTCCTACTCTTCTGTCTGTACGACCTGCTCATAGACGGTCGTGTGCGACAATTTAAAACAAACTCGGTCTAGCATCTGGCGGCTAATCTGAGCAATAATTCAGAGTTCATCATAGGTGAAGCCAGGTGGGATAGGGTGGCATCGAGAGGCAGTGGGAATCTACTTTCTACTTCTGCTGGCAACAACAGGTATTTACAGTCGGTGCGGTCTTTACTACCCAACGTGGAAGATCGTGATGAGGAGCTATTTACAGGGGACATGGACCTACCACCCATCTAGGAAGATATTAACGAGGATCTACTTGAGTACTTCATTACTTTTAAGAAGCTCTCCCAGGCGAGTCGAGTGCAACCAATCTAAAAACAAGGGGCAAGTGAACCTCAGTTGCAACCCAAACCGTCTCATTAAATATGCGCAAATATCCCCCCTTTAAAGTCCACTTATCGCAAGCGTTTTAGATGAAATTTAAGTTTCAAGCCCATGTTGTGCATGCCTTGCCCTTTCTTTGTTCTTTCTGGGTAAACTGTTTTTTCGCGAACTGCAAATTAAAAAAGAATTCAACTTTTTTGTTTGTTGGCGGGCAGTGAGTACGGTGCGAGTATAAAACTAATGTGTGGCTCACACGACAATTGCAGCAAAACTCTCTTATTAAACTTTAATTTGCCAGCGATCGCAGCACAGCGATAATCGGAGCAATTCACGCCAATTCACTCCAACAACAAGTACTGTCAATTTTCAAATCAATGTATGTACGTAAATTAACGGTCAATGGTTATTGACGATATTGTTGCATACTAACACGCGTGGACAAATTGCCCAGAAAGCAATTAATTAAGCCGTTGATTAAGTTAATTGTTAGGTGAAGGCATGCAAATGGATGATAAACCATAAATTGGCCGTCAGGTATCGCTGTGCTGAAACCTGAGACCCTTTGAGCAAGTGGTTTGCAGGAAAAAAGAAATCAGCTTACATACTAGTATACATATGTAGGTATACTCGTATAGACGTAAGTGTGTGTGAGTCTATAAATAGTTTGTTTGCAAGCATGGGAGTGCGCCCACCAGTGGCACCCACTATTGTCGTCCAACACCCAAACATATGTATGCATTTATGTCCACTCCATTAAAATCACATAGCGAATTCCCGACACGTAGTGTTGTCGATAACAACCTTTTGGCACCAAATGTCGTACCGTAAATTACTACAAGGACCATCGTTTCTAATTAAGTAATTGAAGGCAATAGCTGGGATTTATTGCTCGATTGC